AATGGTATCAATGTGGATTTCACAAGTTTCAAAATCTCCCCTCCCCCTACCGCATCCCAAAACCAGTCCAGCTCGTCCCTGCCTCCCTAACCTGTTCTTCCTCCCACCTATCCCCTCCTCCCACCTCAAGCCGCACCCCCATCTCCTACCTACTAACCTCATCCCGCCCCCTTGACCTGTCCGTCCTCCCTGGACTGACCTATCCCCTCCCTAACTCCCCACCTACACTCACCTTTACTGGCTCCATCCCCGCCTCTTCGACCTGTTTGTTTCCTCTCCACCTATCCTGTCCTCTATCCATCTTCTATCCGCCTCCCACTCTCTCCCTATTTATTTCAGAACCCCCTTCCCCTCCCCCTTTTCTGATGAAGGGTCTAGGCCCGAAACGTCAGCCTCTCTGCTCCTATGATGCTGCTTGGCCTGCTGTGTTCATCCAGCCCTGCACCTTGTTGTCTCGGATTCTCCAGCATCTGCAGTTCCTACTATCTTTTGTCCCTAAACTTTCCCAGTTGTTGTCTCCACTAGTTTCTTAATTGATTCCCGCATTTCCCTCCATTACTGTCTGACCATCAGGCTCATGTGAGAATCGGTATTCTGTACTAGTTCTGAATTTTTCTTTTTCTAGTTTGTTTCCATGATCCTTTGTCATACTTTTGAAATGTCAGGTAGTTATAATATTAAATATTTTGTAAAGAAGGCTAATTTACGTCAAGTCACATGAGTCCTTTTATTGATTCACTGTCAGCCAAAAAGCAGACAGACTGATGTGTCGTTTCAGTATCAATCACAAAGGGAGACATATAGAATTGGATCAACCCTTTGGCAACACGATGGGTCTTCCTAAAAGTGTGAGAATTTAAAACTTCTGAGAAAACATTTGATATTGACTCAGGTGCTTTCTTTTATGTATTTAGATTAAAATCGTAATTTCCATGTGCACAGTTTTGCTTATTACACATAGTTCTCATGAATCTTTCTCAGTCTGTGGTCAGGTGACCATTGCAGCATTTTAGTCCATGAAAGGTCTGTGGAATAACAATCAAGTGCTGGTTTGTTAGCTCATATTTACAGGGATATGGCTGCCTCTCAGAACAAAGTACCCAGTTATCTCAAATCCCCATGTCATTTGATACTGATATTACAGAGATACTTGGAAATATCTGCAAGTCAAGAGTCACTAAAGTCAGACAGCCTTTTATTTATCTATCTCCTTATTGTAGTATGAATCAGCTTTTCTACATAGATCCACAAACAGCTCACTTCTGGTTTCTGATCTCAAATGGATTAGATTGATCCCATTGCAATCTACTGCCCTAGTTGAAGTGTGTGCTAGGCTAAGACAGGGTGAAACTGAGCTATAGCAATAACTTGGCATTCGCTGAATCCTGAAGAACAGATATTTTAAAGGGAGATGCAGTTGTTTCGTTAAAAGTAGAATGACTTTAATCTATTTTTAATTACTTTTGTGAACCAAATGCTGAATTGTATTTTTCTGTGGAATTTGTTTGTGCATCATTGATCAATACAATCTGTCATTTGCAGCCTGTCTGAGGATTACTGAGTCAGTGCAAGTTACCATTGGAACCGGTGAATAGATGCTGCTGTCTGTTTCCTCACAGGTTCATTGCATTCTTCAGGAAGTGGTAATGGGAGGAATGGTTCTAGAGACAAACATGACTGAGATTGTGTCACAGGTCGAGGCACAGACTAAACTGGAAAAATCTGAGGTAAGAAATACTGGACATACATCTCCAGGAAGGCTTTTATTGTTGTGGAATTTCCTGTCTATCAAATGGAAACCCTGGGTCCCTCATTGCAGGTGCAGGGGAAGAGGAGGAGATTTGTTCTCAGTGATTGTTGTGGACCTGATGGTTTAGTCCCATGTACCTGTCAGTTTTGAGCCTTGGGTGGTTGTTGTGTAACGTACCTGTATGACCTGTCCTTTCACACCATGACTCAGAATCATTGCATCTTCCTCCTCTGTGACTGAAATTGCAATCTGTCTGTAAATCTCAGATTTCACTTGTTTTCTTGGAGCTAATTTTAATTCTTGTCTCTGCTTATTTCAGTTCCAAGTCTTAACTCAAAATACTTCTCCCTCACATTGATTTCTCTCTCTAAAGAACTTATTCCTTTGTAAATATTTATCTGCCCAATACCGCAGCCCCACCACACAGCACAAGCTAAAGGAGCAGGAGATGGCTGAATTCAGCTCCACCATCCCACACCCCATGTCCCTTAATTTCTTCTGCTCTTGTGACTTGTGGTTTGAACTAATTCCTAGCTTGCGTTGACATTGGGCGTTTCAGCTTTTCACTGATATACAATATTGTAAGGTTAGCTATGAATTTTATATTGGATCGTAAACCGTTTAGAATAATTTAGTTTGGTTTAGCAGAATGGCACAGTCAGCAGTTAGAAAGTGATGATAGTAAGCAGAAAGGATCACAAAAGAATGTTTTGAAATTGCTTAATTGCTTCATGAGTCAAGGACAGCTGATTCCAAAATATAGTTGAACTAAAATAAATCTAGATAAATCTTCAAACTTTACAAGAACTAATCTTTAAATGATTACAGGGGTGTAATCTAATCTTGGTCAGAATGTGATTATCAAGATATTCTTAATATCCATGTTAAAATTGAGTTAATTATTGATTGGCCTGTGAAGTTCCCTATTGACACACTTTCGATCACAGCATCAGTTTTCTCTAACAGTTGGAAAAACAAGCAGTTAAAAAGATGATTTAGTGAAATTCAGAGTGTTCCATGAGTAACTATTAAGTCTAATTTGAGATGGATTGAAGTGGTGCTGCTGAGTGAAAGCTTTGTTTATCACTTGACATGTCAAAATAGTCAGACTGAAGGAGCAACATGGCTCTTTTTGGTGTGCCACCAAGCTATAGTATGTGAATTGGACCTATTGAATATGGTGAACTTTTGATCTTGTCCAGGATCTTCAAGCAAAGTTGATAAAACTATGAGAAAATCACAGAATTGCTACAACACAGGAGGCCATTTGATTCATTGTGCCTGCACTGGTTCTCCAAATGAGCATACTATTTAGTGTCATTCTGCTGCCTTCTCTTTGAAACTGTGTGTATTTTTTATCTTCAGATAACAATTCAATTTCCCTTTGAAAGTTTTAATTGAACCTGCTTCCACCACACACTCAGGCAGTGCATTGTAGACCTGAACCACACACTCAGGCAGTTCATTCCAATGCATTAACTTCTTGCTGTGTGAAGACACTTTTCCTCAAGTTGTTTTTGCTTTTTTTGCCAGTTACCTTAAATGTAGGTCCTTTTATTAGGCATACACTGTCTAGCTCCCTCATGACTTTGAATACCCAAATTAGAATTCCGCGCAGCCTTCTCATCACCAAGGACAATAGTCCTGATTTCTGCAATCTATCTTTATTTCTGAAGATTGTCAGGTGTGGAACCATTCATGTGAATCTTTTCCACATTCTCACTCATGCCTTCACAGCCTGCCTATTGTATGGCGCCTAGAACTGTACACAATACTCCAATTGAGCTCCGTATCTTTTACAAGTTCAGCATCACCTCTTTACTCTTGTACTCACCCTATTAATAAAGCAGAGGACACTGTTTGCTTCATTAACTGCTGTCTCCACTTGTCCTGCTACCTTCAACATGTGCATATATACAACAAAGCCCCTTTGCTCCCACACCTCCTTTACAATTTTCCGTTATTTCATATTGTCACACCATGTTGTTCTGACCAATGTCCATCACCTCATCATTCTCTGCATTGAACTTCATCTGCCACCTATCCGCCCACTCCAACAACCTGTCTAAATCTTTTTGAAGTTCTACACTGTCCTCCTCACAGTTTACAATGCTTCCAAGAGTTGTATAATCTGCAAACTTTGAAATTGTCGCCTGCTCACCAAGGTTTAGTTCATTAATATATGTCAGGAAAAGCAATGTCCCAAAGCTGATCTGTGGGGACTTCCATGGTAATCCTTCTCCAAGCCAAAAACATCCATTAACCATTTCATTCTGTTTTCTATCGCTCGTCTAATTTGTATTCACATTGTATCCATATTGCTACCGTCCCTTTGATTCCATGAGCTCTAATTTTCCTCACACATCTGTTGTGTGACACTGTATTGAATACCTTTTGAAAGCTCATGTACACCACATTGCCTTCATCAAGTCTCTCTGTTATCTCTTCAAAAAAGTTCCAGCAAATTAGTTAAGCATGATTTGCCCTTACGACATTTGTGCTGCTTTTGCCTTTATTAACTTACATTTAACTGCGTGGCTAATCATTTTACACTGAATCATTGTTTCTACAAGCTTCTGTTTTCACTTGCCTGACATTATTAGACTTGCCTTTACATTGTTTTTGAACAATTTGGTAACATTTACAGTTCTCCGCTCCACTCATGGCGCTCCATGTTTGATCCCAGGAAAGCTGTAAAATAATGACCAGCGCTTCTGCAATTTCTTATATCACTTCCCTCAGTATTGCTAAAAAAGAAAGAGAAATGAAGCATCTCATCTTGCTGTCATCAGTAGGGCATGAGAACATTGTTGGCATGGAGATGCAGTAGGAGCAGAATCGAATAACAAAACCAAATCACTGGAAAAACTCAGCAGGCCTGGAAGCACCTGTGGAGAGAAAGCAGAGTTAATGTTTTGGGTCCAGTGACCCTTCTTCAGAACAGTTCATTTTTTAATCTTAGTCCTCAGACAGGCAGGTAGATTTGTTTAGTCAGTGTGTTGCCCTGGGGTTTTGCAGAGATTGGCAGCCACCCATGACTCCTTTCTTTCCCAATGAGAAAGGTGCATTGTGTATGAATTCCTTTTGTTAACATAAAACCGGGCCATTTTGCTGCATTGCCATGCCAGCATTGGCGCAAGCAGTCAGTGCCCTGTTCTGATGCTGTAAAAATAGGCACCTTTTTTCAACATTTGTTTCTTATGTCTTTGTCATGATGAGCATAAGATGAAAAGCTTCAACTTGACTTTTAGCAAAGCTGTGTACTGCCAAGCAATTATTCCATCAGTATCCTTGGGTACATCTCATCTGATCTTGGCACCTTATCAATTTTTCATCTATCCAGCCTATCCAATACCATTTCCTTATCGTAGTATCATAGACTTGTCCGGTACAGAAGAGTACCGGAGTCTGCACTGCTCTAAATCTACACCAGTCCCACTTTCCAGCATTTGGCCCTTCACCCTTTAATGTTATGACATTCCAAGTGCCTTTAAATGGCTGTGAGGTTCCGTGCCTCAACTACCCTCCTCGGCAGTGCATTCCAGATCTCTGTCACCCTCTGGGTGAATAGGATTTTCCTCAGATCCCCTCTAAACCTCCTGCCTTTCACCTTAAAAATTCTGTCCCCTTGTTTTGACTCTCAATTAAGGGGAACAGCTGCATTCTATCCAATCTGGCCACACATCTTTTAATCTTATACACCTTAATCAGCTCCATCCTTAACCTGCTCAGCTCAAATAAAACAATCTGAGCCTATCCAGCCTCTCTTCATTGCTAAACTGCTCCCAGTCAACATCCTGATGAATCTCCTCTGCACCACCTCCAGAGCAATCACATCCTTCCTATAGTCTAGTGACCAGAACTGCACACAGTGCCCCAGCTGTGGCCTAGCCTAAGTTCTATGCAGCTCCAACATGACGTCCCAGCTCTGATCATCTGTTATGACTGATGAAAGCAAATGTCCTGTATACTTTCTTAACTTCCCTATTAACTCCTCCTGCCACCTTCAGGGTCCTGTGGGCAAATATGCCCCGATCCTTCTGTTCCTGTCTGCTTCCTAGTATCCTTCCATTCATTGAGTACTCCCTTGTTACTTCTTCCAAACTGCATCACCTCACAATTATCAGGATTAAATACCATCTGTCACTGATCTTGTCAATTGTAAGTCTTTCTAGTGACTGAGATTTCTCCTCTGTGACTAGCGTCTTGGTAACATCTTTCATATTCTTTTCATATCTTACTATGTCCTCTGCCTCCATGTATAACTCCCCTTTTCGGTTCCTAATTGCCCCCACTCCTCCCTTTACTAACCTTTTCAATATTTACGTGCCCCTAAAAGATTGGGACATCCTTTTATGGTAGGAGTCATCTTCCCTCTTTACATCTTTTCTTTACTTTTTTGCCTCCCATGGAATATTCTATGTTAAGTCTGGTTCTCAGTTATATTTTCTATCTATAAGCATGCTTTTCTTTGTTATCTTAATTTCTATGTCTTTCGTCTTGAATGTGCTCTTCATGTAACTCCTGTTTTACCTATTAACTTTGAGACCGATGTATTCGGCTGTGAGCCATTCTCACCCCCATTGAGGTTGCCTTTTATCAAGTTTATTATTCTTATCCTGGATTGTTTGACCTTTTCCATAGTCCACTTAAACCTTATTGTACAACAATCACTGTCCTCCAAATGTTTTCCCATTAAGACTTTACTTATTTGGTGAATTTCATTCCCAAAACCAGATCTAATAGTGCCTTCTTTCTCATTGGACTGAAAACTTGACGCTGTAGAAAATTTACCCAAAGACACTTTAGGAACTCTTGCGTCTCTTTGTTCTTTACACTACCATTATCCCAGTTTATATTTAGGCGATTCCCTCATTGTAACTGCTGCGTAGTTTTTGCACTCTCCACCATTTTCTTGGAAATTTATTCCTCTTAAATCCTTCCAATTAGTTGATGGTCTGTAGGCTACATGTGAACATATACACCAACATACGGATTAGAAACAGGACTTGGCCTGTCGAGCATGCTCCACCATTCAATAAGATCATAACCAATAACAAAAACAGAAGTTGCTGGAAAAGCTCAGTAGGTCTGGCAGCATCTGTGAAGAGAAGTTAGTTAACATTTTGGGTCCGGTGACCCTTCCTCAGAACTGATGGAAGCTAGGAAACTGTTGGTTTACCTGCAGAAGATAGGTTGGGGGGGAGTAAAGGGTTAATGATAGGTGGGCATAGAGCCCAAAGAAGTGCAGTTGGACAGATGAAGGAGTTGATGATGATCTGGCTAGGAGGGTGAATAGCTGTTAATGGGGACTGTTAGGGACTAACAATAGGTAGTGTGTAATGGCAGGCTATGTGATAACAAGGCCTGGTGTGTAGGGTAGGGGACTAGGACATGAGGGAGTTCGGGCCCTAAAATTATTGAACTCGATATTGAATCCAGAGGGCTGCAGGGTCCCCAAGTGGAAATTGAGATATCGTTCTTCCAGCTTGTGTTGAGCTTTGCTGGATCACTGCAGCAAACCTGAGACAGATGTTGGCAAGGGAACAGGGTGGTGTGTTAAAGTTTAGGGCAACTGGAAGCTCAGAGTCTTTATTGCGCGCAGAATGTAGATGTTCTGTGAAGTGGTCACCCAGCCTACGCTTTGTTTCCCCAATGTAGAGGAGACCACATTGTGAGCAGCGAATGCAGTAGACTAGATTGTGGGAAGTGCAGGTAAAGTTCTGCTTCACCTTGGATACTGGGGAGGGAGGAGGTAAATGGGCAGGTGTTGCACCTTTGCCGGATGCAGGGGAAGGTGCCATAGGGCTGTGGGAGTGTGTTGAGTGTGAAGGAAGAATGGATTAGGGTGTCCCGGAGGGAATGGTCCCTGCAGAAGATGGACAAAGGAGGGGAGGGGAAGGAGTATGTGTCTGGTGGTGGCATCCCGCTGGAGTTGACAGAAATGGCAGCTGATGATCTTCTGGATGTGGACGCTGGTGGGATGGTAGGTAAGAACAAGGGGAACTCTATTACTGTTGCTGGAGGGGGTGAGGGCAGAAGTGCGGGAGATGGTTCAGACCTGGTTGTGGGCCCTGTTGACAATGGTTGAGGAAGAAGGTGGACATTTCGGAGGCTGCCTTGTCAAAGTCAGCCTCGTCGGAATATATGCGACTGAGGCGGAGGAACTGGGAGAATGGAATGGAGTCTTTACAGGAAGCAGGGTGCGAGGATGTATAGTCTAGGTAGTTATGGGATGCCAATGGGCTTATAGTAGATATATGTGGCCTGTCTATCTCCAGAAATGGAAATAGGAATGTTGAGAAAGGGAAGGGAGGAGTCAGAGATAGACCAGGTGAAAGTGAGCACAGGGTGGAAATCGGAAGCGAAATCGATGAACTTTGCCAATTCCGGACAAGAGAGGGAAGCAGCACCAATGATATCATTGATGTATCGGAGAAAGAATTGTGGGTGGGGGCCGGAATAGGACTGGAACAAGGAATGTCCTACGTACCCCACGAAGAGACAGGTATAACTGCGGCCCAAGCAGGTACCCATGGCCACCCCTCTGACCTGAAGAAAATGAGAGGAGTTGAAATAGAAGTTGTTGAAGGTGAGGACGAGCTCGGCCAAGTGGAGGAGGGTGGTGGTGGTTGGGGATGGTTCAGGTCTTTTCTCCAGGAAGAAGCTGAGAGCCTTGAGACCATCCTAGTGTGGGGGATGGACATGTAAAGGGATTGCTACTGGAGCCTGCAAACTGGAATTTCTGAAACTGATGTAAAACATCACAGGAATCACAAATGTACGTGTGCAGGGTCTGGACCAGGGAGAGAAGAGTCAAGAGATAGAGAGATAGAGTCAAGCTAGGAAGAGATGAGTTCTGTGGGGCAGGAGCAGGCTGAAACAATGGGTCTGCCTGGACTGTCCTGTTTGTGGATTTTTGAAAGGAAGTAGAAGCGAGCTGTGTGGGGCTGGGGTACTATCAGCTTGGAGGCAGTGCGGGAGTGATCACCAGATGAAATGAGGACAGCGACCGTAGTTGATACAGTGCCTGAAGTGCCATGGTGGGGTCATGGTCCAGGGGAAGGTAGGAGGAGGTATTTGAGAGCTGGCACTCAGCCTCTGCAATGTAGGGGTCAGTACACAAAACTACAACAGCACTACCCTTACCAGCAGGCTGAATAACAAAGTGAGGGTTGGATCTAAGTGCACAGAGTGCAGTCAGTTCGAAGGGAGATAGGTTGGATTGGCTGAGAGGGGTCAGAGAAATTGAGGGACCAATATCACTTCGACAGTTCTCAATGAACAGATCAAGTGCAGGTAAAAGGCCAGAGGGAGGGGTCCAGGTGGAGGGAGAGTGTTGGAACTGGGCGAAGGGGTCTGTGGGACGGGGAGGGGACTCTTGTCCGAAGAAATGGGCACGGAGGCGAAGATGACGGAAGAAGAGTCCGATGTCATGTCATGCCCAAAATTCGTTAAGGTGGGAACACAGATGGATAAAGCTGAGACCTTTACTGAGTACAGAACATTCAGCATCAGACAGCAGAAGGTTAGGAGGGATGGTGAATACCTGACAGGAGGTGGAGTTGGGGGAGGGGATGGAGTCAGCGGGAAGGGGAAGGGAGGAAGATTTCAAAGGGCCATGGGTATCTCTGAGTTGTTGCATCTTGTGGCCTTGATGCCTAAAAGGAAAAGAAAAAATTTCTTGTTAGCACGACAAATGAGCTGGAGGATGAAGTGAAACTGCGGAGTGGTGCAACCCTGAGCCAGTGTGATGCGATACTGTTGGAGAGAAAGGTCAAGAATGTGCATGTGACACTGCATGTTGAAAATCATGGAGGTATGTGTGGCCCTGGGAGGATTTAAAGCATGGAGGATGAAATTTCAGTTGGAATCCACATGGGCTGAGTCTGAATTGGAAGCATTCGCTGAGGACTGCACAGCATAGCAGTTCCTTCACGGTTGCAGGGTCGAAGTCCTGGAACTCCCTTCGTAATGGTGTATATGTCAATATCAAATGGATTGCAGCGGCTCAAGAAGGCAACTCACTGCCAAGAGTGATTCAGAATGGCTAATAAATGCTGGCCTAGCCAGCAATGTTCACACCCCATGAGTGAATATATTTTTAAAAATACAGCAAAACACCCAGCAGGAAATTTGTCCTGGCTCTGTTTAGGTACAAACCTCCAGCCTTTACAGATCCCATCTCCCACATAGTCAGTCCCAATTTTCCAGATATGAATTCATCTCCATTTTCTTCCTGTTTCTGTTACTCCTTTGCGTATGGAACCAGGCGTAATCTGAAATTACTACTTTTGAACTCTATGTCAATTTCCTACCTGGCTCCCTAAATTCTAACCAGAGGGTCACATTTGTACCAAATACATAGTCAGAAAGGAGCACAACCTGCTGGCTGTCCCTCCTCCCTCCTCCAGCCACTCTGCAGCTGCTCACTGACAATCCTTGACCCTGGCACCAGGACAACACACCATCCTGGATCCATATCTGCAGTCACAGAAGTGTGTATCAACTCACGTTTCCTTTTTCTGTAGATAGTTTCGTTTTATTTTCTGTGTTACAGATAATGAAACTCCTTGTGTGGTGTATACAGTGATGTTCAAGCACTGGGGGAAGTTTCTAGGTGGTATATCACTGAGGTGTGTGTATGCAGAATGAGATTTAGCCAGCAACAAATAGCTGATTGGTTTGCAAAATTCAGACTGGTTGTGGATTTCAAAGGTCATAAGCTTGGCGATAATCTAATTGGTTCCAGGGTATCTATAGAGTTTGTTAGTTCAAATGATACAGGGAGAAGTATAAGGATTGCTGGAAGAGCAGGTTCTGTGCGTGTTTCTGTCTGTCTCTACTAAAAATGCCTGAAGCTTGAAGATAACCAGTTATTTTCTCCCACTAGTTACAGTAAGCTATTGCCTTTTACCAGTGATTCAAAGACTCTATAGTTAGTGTACAGATCATCCTGCACCTCCTGTGAAGAAATAAAAGAACCTGGAGAAAGGAGGTTGTAGAGCAGAAAATCTTGACAAGCAAAAGGAACATTTCTAGGGACTCTGTAGACTGGCGCTATTGAACTGTGTTTCCCCAGTATTTTTTCCTCCACCCATAAAAGCAGCGTTTACCTGTTTGTTTGTGTCTGTGTGTATGTATAGCAGTTTTAAAAGGTTTTAGAGTTTTAACCAGTAGAGCCGTAAGTTGATAGTTCATTGCTGTTTACATGTGATTAGGATGGACTGACTGCAGTACCGAGATGAATTATCACTCTGATCAGACTGTGTACTGATTGAAGAGTGAGGTGCACTATGAGAGCTTCTGCACTGCCTGTCTTTTTTTTGTTTGATGGCTTGGTATTTGCTGAGGTTGTGGATTAACAAGGTTTGCAAGCTGCTTTCCGTGAAAGGAGCAACATTGTTGTACATTTAACATGTACCTCCAGTATACCATCGGTTTCCTCCTCCTCCTCCTCCTCTAAGATTTGGCTTCCACTCTTTTTGAAAGGTCTTCGGTTTTGCTTTTAACATTGCGCTTTTGAACAAACAATTTATCAGATGTCTTTTTTTTGTTGCTGTTGTTACAAGTTTTAATTTCTTTGTGTGTCATGAAAGAGTAAATTTTGTTTTGTAATTTTAGGCTGGGTTCTCTGGAGCTCCTGCCCGTGCAGTCTCTGCTGTCAAGAATATCAATCTGCCAGATATCCCACGCAACATCAAAGTTTCAAATCTGTCTCCATTTGTGTAGAAGGACAGTTCATATTAATGATACCTGGTCACCTATTACATCCACCTGTAAATACTGAGAGCTTTTCTGACATCAGCTTTTCATTTGAAGGTTGTTGTTGTAAAAATATGATGGCTTGTGATGGTTTTCTCCTTTGCAACCTCTATAGATTCTAAATTGTTACAAAATTTAATGCTGATAGTATCCCAGTTGGTGTGTGTGCATTTGCATTGGGCATGATACAGGAGCACTTTAAACATTAACCAGGGCCATTCCTCAATCAGGTGCTTTGAATCAGAGTGGACACACTCTAAACTGTTAGCCAGGTTCACCCCAAAGAGAGGCAGTTATCCAGAGACACTCAATACCAACCCCTCACAGTATCCACCAGAAATTGGGGAGACAAAGTGAGGGATTATTTACTGTGGTCCTAAAGTGATGACACAAATGGACATCTGTGTATTCCTGAAGAAATGCCTGTTGACTTCTCTGTCCTTTATGTTGGAAGATAAAGAGTGTATTTGCTTCCATTTGTGAACATAAAATGGAAATTCCTGGAGTCAGTTTTTCGTTTTCTTTCAAGATGGAAAATTGACACATGCTTTAAAAAATTGCATCTGAAATTAGTAATACTGACAATTAAAGTGCATTTCAATTCACCAAATTGTACTGTGATTGTATATTCTCTTTCACTTTTTAGTGGGTAATTTCTCAAGTGACATTGAAATGCTGGTAAAGAAAGAAGGGACTGAAACTCCTGTTACGCACACCTTCCTATTTGGTCAACATAAGAAATTTTGTAACAGGAACCTAATATAAGAACAGGCGTAGGCCGTTGAGCACATCAAACCTGCCCCACTACTCCATTCAATCACGGCTGATTGAACAGTCTGATGACTTTTACTCACTCCATCCCCATTGTTATGAAGGTGGATAGAGTAATTGTGAAGTAGAAGGCAGCAAGCTAAGATGTGTGGTTCCTTTAAGAGATTTGTGCTTTGTCTGTGCTTAGAAACCTTTAAAAAATGTTATGTCTGTGAGCAGCAGCTGAAGCTGCCAGTACAGAGAGCCTCAAAAAGTGAAACAAGTGTATCAAAAAACACTTACAGGTGGCAGGCAAAACAGCCATCTTGTTTTGATGCTGTAACGAGTTCGAATTTGGCCAATTAATTTAAAACCAAACATTCAATGATTCAAAGCCAGTTGAATTTACAAACTGATGGTGTTGACAGCCTGTGAGAATTTGTTGCGTCATCATTGGTATTTAAGGAAGTGTTTTTTGAAAATCGGCAGAGAGCCAACTGCCATCTGAAAGAGAGAGTCATCCACCACCTACCAGAGTTAGCACCATTCAGCTCTCAGAGAAAGACTATCTAATCAATCAAAGGTACCACGGTATTTTAGCTCAAAGTCCTCATTGAAGAAATTAGAGAGAAAATACATCCCTGACAGCAGAATTAGTGGAAGAAAGGCATTTGTGAAGAGAGTGGAGACAATAGAATATTCCAACAGAATTTACCAGTTAGGAACTAGTTTTAGTCTGGGGGGGAATTGTTGGTTTGTTAGTAATTCTGTTATTTGTTCATTGTTGGGTTAAATAAGTAAATTGTTACTTGTAATTTGTAAAGTAGAGATCAGGGATTTTCTTTCTTCTAGCAACTTCTAACAGATTATGAGGGAAAAGGCGAGCTTCTCTGGGTGTTTGGGGTGTAATTATTAGAGGGGAACCCATACTTCTGTCATAACCGGTCAGGGCTTGTATTTCAGTTTAGTTATCAGAAAAGTTTGGCTATTCCCCCTCCGTAACACCATTACCATGTACAACTCTGGTCATCAAAAACCTATCACACTCTGCCTTAAATATACTCAAAGACTGAGCTTCCACAAGCCTTGGGGGTAGAGAATTGCAAAGGTTCACAACAGCACTGAGTAAAATAAATTTTCTTTATCTCACACCTAAGTGGAAACCCCTTATTCCCCTGGTTTTAGATTCCCCAACCAGGGAAACATCTTGCCTGCATCTGCCCTGTCTTCATTTAATTATTTTCTAGGTTTCCCTTGTTGAGCGGTGGGAGTCGGGAGAGAGCGAGGGGACTACTGGGAAGGTAAGCAAAATCATATATTCTGGCAGTGGCTTTTGTTTGGTGGGAAGCTGTTGGAGGGAGGAGCAGCAGAGCAGAGGTGAGTATAAGAGGACCAGATCTCGGGGCACTAGCTGCAAATAAAACTGGAGTGATGTGACAGGGAGGCTGTGACCTGATTGGCTGGTAGGAAATCTGCACTAAATTTGAAAAAGAACCCAGGAAAGAAGTATCGACAAATTTAATTAACTCATTATAATAAATTATATAAATTAATAAAGTAATTAACTAAGTAGAAATGGCTGGACAGGTGATGTGTTGTAGCTGTATGATGTGGTATCTGGCTGATCCCGTTGTGAACTCCTCATCCACACAGGCAGCAAGTACCTCATACCTGTTGGACAAGGTCAAGAGCTGAGGCTCCTCTGTTCCTGACTGCAGGATCCTTCTATCTGCCTCGCTTACAGTTTAGAAGGATGAGGGGGGATCTAATTGAAACTTACAGAATACTGAATGGCCTGTACAGAGTGGATGTTGGGAAGATGCTTCCGTTGGTAGGAGAGACTAGGACCCGAGGGCACAGCCTTAGATTAAAGGGAAGACCTTTTAGAACGGAGATAAGGAGAAACATTTTCAGCCAGAGAGTGGTGAATCTATGGAATTCACTGCCACAGAAGGCTGTGAAGGCCAGGTCATGGAGTACATTTAAGACTGTGATAGATAGGTACTTGATTATCAAGGGGATCAAGGGTTACCGGGAGAAAGCGGGAGAATGGGGTTGTGGAACTTATCAGCCATGACTGAATGGTGGAGCAGACTCGATGGGCTGAATGGCTTAAATTCTGCTCCTACGTCTTATGGTCTTATGGAGATCTCCTCTCAATCTTTGAAATTGGAGAAATACAGGCCCAGTTAACCCATTCTCTTCAAGGGACAGCCCTGCCATCCTGTAATGAAGACTGGCGAATCTTCATTGCACTCCCTCTGTGACAGTATCTTTTCTGAGGTAACCAAAGCTTCACATTACTCCAGCTGCAGTCTAACCAAGCACTGTACAACTGAAACAAAACTTCAGTCCTCCTGTTCTCACATCCTCTTGCGATAAAGGCTAACTTTCCGTTAACATTCCTAATAGCTTGCTGCACTTCTGTGTTAACCTTTAGTGACTTATTGACAAAGACACCTCGGTCACTTTGTATATAGAATCATACAGGACGGAAGAGGCCCTTTGGCCCATTGAGTCTGTACTGCCAAAAATGTACTACTACCTACACTGGCCCCACTTTCCTGCACTAGGCCTTCCAACCTTTTAACATTTAAAACATACTCTGCACATCTATTTCTTCTATGAAAGTGGATCACCCTTTTTTTGCACATTTTCTTCCATCTGTCATGTTCTTGCCTGTTCACTAAGCCTGTCCAAATCTTCCTGAAGTTGTTTTACACCTTCCACAACACGCATTCCCACTTAGCATTGTATCAGCTACAAATTTGGAAATATTGTGTTTGGTTCCCAACTCGAAATCATTGATATATATTATGAACAGCTGGGGCCCCAAGTACATATACTTGCAATACCCGATTAGTCATATCTTTTCAATGTGACAATGGTCCAGATATTCCAACTCGCTTTTCTGTCTGTTAGTCAATCATTAATCCATGCCTGTGTATTACCTCCTATTTAATGTGTTCTGATTTTTCTGACCAACCTCCTGTGAGGTACAATCCTGCTATCTGGGACCACATTCTCCCCGTGTCTGCATGGGTTTCCTCCAGGTACTCTGGTTTCGTCCCACAGTCCAAAGATGTGCAGGCTAGGTGGATTGGCCATGCTAAATTGCCCATAGTGTTCAGGGGTGTGTAGTTTAGGTGGGTTATAGGGGGATGGGGATGGGTGGGATGCTCCAAGGGTTGGGGTGGACTTGTTAGGCCAAAGGGCCTGTTTCCACACAGTAGGGATTCTATGAAGTCTGGTGAACTTCCGTTGCGCTCCAGAAATGGCAATATCTTTCCCAAACATCTATGTATACTGCATCCATTGACTCTCCTTAATCAATCTAGTCAGTAACATCTTCAAAAATAAACCACAAGTTCATCAAACATTTTCCCATTCACAAATTCATGCTGACTATGCCCAAACAGATCATTATCAAACAGATTTCTCTGTATCCTAACCTTTATAATAGATTTTAGCACTTTTCTGCTCTTGATGTTAACCAGACCATAGTGTGGCTTTCTCACTAGGGGGAGTGACAGCTGCTGCTGGTTTCACCTGAGCTTCACCGCACCTCAGGCAAGGAGAGAAGTTTTTCATGGTAACTGATATGGGAATTGAACCCATACTGTTGACATCAAACTGGACATCCAGCCAACTGAGCTAATTGACTCCCAACAACTGCTGAAGTGGGGCTAAGAGATCTGTAGTTCAATGTTTTCTTTCCTGATCCCTTAAATAGTGGGGTCATGTTTGCTACCTTCCCATCCACAGGAATCATTCCAACATTTATAGAATTTTGGGAAATACTCACTATAGGTCCTGGGGATTTATTAACTTTCAGTCCCATTAATTTCTCCAGTATAATCTTACTGATGCTAATTTCCTACAACTCATTCTTCCTAGCCACTTAGATCTCCAATTCTGGAAGATTTTTTCTATTTTCCTCTGCTGTATTCCCTGTTATAAATTCTACTAACTCTGACTGTAATGGATCCACTTTTGTTTTAGCCAAATGTTCCCTTTTTATACACCTATAGAAGCTTTTACAGTTCATTTTTATATTTATTGCTAGTTTTTTTATATTCATGGGATATAAGCATTGCTGGCTAGGCCAACATTTATTATCCATCCCTAATTGACCAGCAGGCAGTTAAGAGACAAACACATTGCTGTGGGACTGGAGTCACATGGAGGCCAGACCAGTTAACGATGGCAGTTTCCTTCCCCAAAGGACATTAATGATTGCAATTATCTTCCTTATTCGTTTCTTGGCCCTCCTTTGTTGCATTCTATAAACTCCCAATCCTCAGAATTGCTTTTACTTCAGGCAACTTTGTTGGCTTGTTCTTGTAATTGAATGCAATCCTGAACTTCCGTTGTTAGCCAATGGTTGACTGACATTTTCTGTGTCTTTGCAGCTGGAAGGAATGTGTAATTTTTGTAAGCCATGTAATAGTTCTTTGAAGACTATTCATTTCTTATGTATTTTCCCAATCCACCTCAACCAATTTGTGCCTCATCCCTCCATAATTTCCCTTATTCAAATTGAACACCCTTGCTTTAGAATGAGCTACAAATCTTTCAAACATAATAGAAAATTCTATCACATTGTGGTCACTCATCTCCCAAAGGTTGTTTTTACAATAAGATTATTAATTAGCCCTATGTCTAAATTAGCACATTCTGCAGTTGAGCCTATTTCTCTTTAGGTCATGGATATGTGTCAGGACAGCTCAGTCTATTTAGTGAATTGTCATAAAGCAAAACTAGTAAGGGCTGATTTTGACTTATTACTTTGCTTTCTTCCCAAACTACTTCTTTTTCTCGATCTGTACTTTGCATATAATTCAGTTACTGCTTT